AATAAAAAGATACAACTTTGAAGCAGATCTTTCCTGATTTTAAACCAATCAGTATCCCCTTGTTTTGCTCAAACGACCACCTTCTGAACAGGTTCCACATGAGTACAATTTTAAGTGTTCTGGAATTCTCATTCTTCCCAATTTATCTAAAACCTGTTATGATCACTGGGGTCAAATGTCTTTGCATAGTCAATAAAAGAAAGATAAACAACATTCTAGTAGTCTCTGCTTTAAACTAGATCCAACTTATAGGAGCAATGATGTTCCTAGCTCCACTGCCTCTTCTGAATGCAGGTAGAATTTCTGGCAGTTCCCTGCCAATGTACTGCTACAACTATTACATGTGATATTAATGATATTAGGACAGCAAATGATAGGACAGAGGGTCTCTACAAACTGTACTGAACTCAATGACACCTAACAACAACGACGTTAAGTCACTTTTACTGCTTTATTAATAAAACTGGCTCTTTTTTCCTTTTTCACTATGAATGGCAGTAAAAATATAATACCTATCAGAATGATTTAAAGCATCTGAAAGCCAACTCCCTAGAGAGTCAGATGAGAGTTTATTCTGGACTCAGCAGCACATAACCACAACAATCAGTACCACAATTACTGCCAGTAACTTGACTGGCACCAAAAATTTTACCCACTCTTGCTTCTGCACCATCAATACAGTGCAAATGTAAATATAGGAACAGGAATAAATAATATTATTATTATCTAAAAAGTTTTGACCTTAAAGATTCACTAAAAGACTCTTAGGGCTCTATTATCTGCAGAACCACTGTTTTAAGCTATTACTTAAAGTGATTGGTCTTGTGTGTCTTAATAGACCCTAAGATAGTGTTTCTATTTACACATTATGTTTATAACTGAGTGTTTCATCAAGAAAATTAGAATTTTATTCATCAGATTCTACTTTTTAGAAGTATAGCTACTGTGTAATACAGATGCTCCGGTGGCACAGTTCATAATGTGCTGCACTAACCAAAAGGTTGCTCTTCAGATGTGCAAATTCACCAGCAGCTCAATGATGAGCAATCTCTTCTCATTAAGATACAGTCTTGGAAACTCAATAGAAGGTTGCTATGAATCAAAACTGACTCGACAGCAGTACATTTTGCCGGTTTTTTTGAGTGGGTAATATTATCGTAGAAATATTCCCACCCAAAATGCTAAAAATAAAACAACTTTAGAGATTAAGATTTAAAGACTCAGAAAATTATTCTTCTATAATTCTGAAAAAATGAGTATTTATTACATTTCTACTTCCTGAGAGTTGCAGATATTGAAATATGGGATTTAAAAAAAAACATTTATCACCTATAACTTAGGTAAATAACAGCAGATATCTAGGGAATCTGGTGGAGCAGTCACACTACTAGGGCGATGCACTATTAATCCAAACTAATATGGTGTTGCACTATGAACCTCCACCTCTCTGGTGGTTCAAATCCATTAGCAGTTCCACATGAGAAAGATGAAAAATCTCCTCTCTTGTGATTTCTAGCCTCAGAAATCCAATGGAGGTGAGGTATAAGTCCGTTCTTACTGGCAAGAAGACAGAGTTGCCCTATATGGCTCAATTCAAAGACAAGATCCAGAATCACAAAGGTCAGAAGCGTCTAGGAGTATAAAAACTAATGGGAATTACCACTGAGAATCAAAGCAGGAATCTCACAGGGGTAGTCCGCTAACTGAAAACGCAAGCAAGATTTCTACATTATTAGACTGAAAGAAGCTACAAAGAGTTGAGTGGTGGGAGACATGGGCACAAATCTGTCGGCCCACATCAATACCTAGTTAGGGATAAGACTGTAGAGAAGTTTGTGGGGAAAATCTCCACAGAAAAAAGTAAATAAGTTATTAGAAAGAACATGATTTATTTCAAGAGCAAACAATGTGCTGCATATAAACATAACGCATCCTCCCCATAGAGATGATACATTTCCAAATTACCTTTTTTCTCTTCTTCTTCTTCTTCACAGAACTCTGCTAGGGAAAATGGTTCTTTGAGTTGCTCAAGTTCCAGTTTCAGAGTCTCTAATTCTTCTCCACTTAGAGAATTAAGAATAGATTTCACCTGGATGGACAGGAGATTATAAAACATGTGGAAGGGTGGAAAAAAGGAAACCATTCTCAGAAGGATAAAGACAGTAGATCAAATTGAAATAAAGATTATTAATTTACCAGTCAATACAAAGATTCCTTGTACAAATATTAACACAAAAAAGTGGTTGTTATAAAAAAGTGGTAATTAGGAAGACTGTGTTTAAAGCACTCAGCCAATAACCAAGAGATCAGGGATTCTAACTCACCAGTCACTTTACAGGACTAAAAGAAAGCAGTCTGCTTCCATAAGGATTTCAGCTCTACTCTGTACTGCAGGGTTGCTCTGAGTTGGAATCAACTAGATAGCAGTGAGCCTTATTTTTGGTGTAACACGTTGTCACACACTTTTAAATTGACGACCGTGCTTAGAAACACATATAGCCATCATTTACGGCAATGTGTTAATTATAGTAGTTGTATACCTTTGAGCTGTGGTACTGGAGAAGAGTATTGAATGGACTGTTAGGAGAACAAACATGTTCATCCTGGAAAGGGTGAAGCCAGGCTGCTCCTTGAAGGCAAGGATTCTAAAGCTTCATGTGACATACTTTGGACATTTTGCAAGGCGGGATCAGTTCTTGGAGAAGGATGTCATGCTTGGGAGGGTGGAGAGACATTGCGGGAGAGGAAGACCCTCAATGAGATAGACTGTTTCAGTAACTGGGGTAATGAGGGTGGGTGTATCAGAGACAATAAGATTGAAACAAGGCAGAGCAGGGTTTAGGGCTATTATACATAGGGTCACTAGGCACATTAACAACAAAGCAACAGTAGCTGTAAAGTCTATCACATCAAAAATTTGAACAATGTTTCCTAACAATAAAGGGAAGAGGTTTGTAACTCACATCAGAACAGTGTTATTGTTATTACTGTATAATCATGTTAAAGATGTCTTAGTGTATCTAGAAATGTTTAACTTTTTTTTCTGCACAGAAAACACACTACAAACTAAAACAAACATTTTGCTAACTAATGTTAGATACAAACCATGCCTAACTGTTGTGACTTACATATAAATTTGACTTAAAGATAGAAACAGATCTTATTCATCATCTGGGGACTGCCTACAAAAAGGAAATGAAGAACTGAAAACACTGAAATGTAAGAGGTAACTATATCCAAATTGCAGCTTCAATGAACAGGTACTTATATCAAAATTAGCAAGTTAAATTAAATAAACTAGTGAGAAAGGACAAGGAGAAAGAAAAGCAGCAGATGTACAATTAAAACAGATCTGTTAATAATAGGTCCTTTCTGCTTTAAGAAATAACACATAATTCACTGTATTCCTAGCAATTAGCACAAACGTTAGTTTCTTTTCTAGTTAAGAGTAGTATTCCTTCAGAGCCTCAAGCATCTGTATTTGAAATGCATTTTACCTTCTGTTTCTATAAGGAGAAAACAAACTATATTGCATTCTTTTGCTTGAAGACATTTTCCAGTTGAGATTCTTGGTTTGGAATTACCTTTATTTCACTTTCTCGGGAAAGCATCTCCAGAGCTTCTAGATGAGAAAGGCCTTGAAATTCATCAAAGAGAAGTCCATAATGAGTTTTCTTTTCCATTTCCATGGTAACCTCATTGGAGGTCCCCAGCTCTTCTTTCTCCTTTGCCTCTCTTAAAACCTGAAAGGATATGGAGGCATTCACATTGTAGCAAGTAATGAGAGTTCAAGGATGGGTTTTCAGAGTTGAAAGAGGCAAATATGAGATGAGTTACAATACAGAGGACTGCGCTTTCCTTCTTGGTTTTGCAATTAAAATGTGACAGGCTCAGAAGCTAAAGGACAGAAAATGATCACCTGCTATTTGGTCTTAGACAGTGTAAACAAGTAACAAGAAAAAAGCCAGGTGTTTGGCCAAAAGTAGTTCAAAGTATGAACGTAATAAGTAACTCTGACAGGACTTGGAATCTTGAACTCAATGATAAGAAACTCTTATTGAACAAAGAGAACAGTAAAAATTAGGGTTGGGCATTTATCTAAGCATTAGCTCTTTCATTGTCAAATACCAAAACAAAAAGCCTATGACAAAATTACCTTTAAAGGAAATACTAACAAGCTCCTAAATTAGCAAAGGCAAATTTCAAATTAAAAGAGAAACAGGTAGTAAACTGGTAAAGACAAATAGTACCTGAGACAATGTAGAATTTCGGTGCATTAGGCCCTTGGTTTTTTTAAATCCAGGATCTCCTTCTGCTATTACATCCATTGTCTTTTTCCCAATGAATTCTAAGGCATCCAAACCCCCACTGATGACACTTTTCCCCTAGGAAACACATGGAACCTCATTACAACAATACTGAGAAAATATACCTGCATGTTTTAATAGTATAAATGTAGTTGCTATTATTGTTGTATACTCTGTTTTTGTTACTGTTGTGTACCATAAAGTCAGAACCAACCCAAAGCTGACCCTCCAACAGGTCTTCAGAGACAGTTAACTGCACAGAAGGAGAGTGCGCATCATTCTCCCATGAAGCAGCTGGTGGCTTCAACCCATATGCCTTCAGGATTATAGAGCATCTGTTTCAGAGGGTCAAGGACTGTA